TTAAAATCTGTTATTCTTCCTGCCTCTTAGAGAAAGATAACCACAATTAATGTTTTATTTCTTCACAGTCTTTTTTCTAGACATATAAATTTTATTTTTAAAAAATGTGAGATCATCTCATACCTTCTTGAACTATGGGAGAATATAGTGACCCTGGGCCATATTGGTATTTTAGAGACAGAGCTGTCTTTGCAGAGAGCCTTTGGCCTTGGATGGATAGTGCAGGGAGGAGACTGTTTCAGCTGAATGATTGGATGAACCACTTTTCTTTCTCTTACTGTCAGACTCTGATGGAATGATGGACTCTTAGAATTGGTGACGACCTCAGAGATCAAGGTCTGTGGTGCCGTGCATTTAAGTACCAAAACACACCAGAGGAGCAGCTGACATTCATGGGCAGTTCACATGTGCCTTGTGTGAATGTCACATCACAGGCAGCAACAGGGGCCCTGTTGAGACATAGTCCAGCCACTGAGTAGAGGGTAATAGCTGTTGACAACCAGGGAGAAAAGCCTGTTCCAAATGTCAGAGGTAAACTGAGCCTGCCAGCCTAATGATGTGGGGCTTCAGAAACTATTGCTTTCACTCTATAACTAGGTTGTATTGGTATCTTTGCTTTCTTTCACAAAAAGAAATGAACTTAAGTTTTAATCTATCATGTCAATACATATAGACTATGCTAATGGAATATAAAAGATGTAAACAAGCTTTAAAGACATAGAATCTTTAAGAATCCAATGGGGGCTCTCCAAAGTTAAAGAAACAAATTAAAGTTTGAGATTAGGTTGAAAAAAATTTTGAGAGAAAGGGATCACTCTGAAGATGAGGATATTTTAAAACTGTTGGAAGTACTTTAAAGGAAGAGAATTAAAGCTATGATATTTAACTTCTCTTAATATCTCTGATTGAATCAGTCATTTGGAACCCATGTGCTGGTTGACTTTTAGAAGCATGGCAAACAGCTCATCTCCCCGTATAAACGCATGGAAATGCCAGATAAAATAAAACTAATGACAAAATGCCCATCACCTCCCTAGATTTATTAATGAACTAAAACCCCTGTAATTTTTCTTGTAAAGAAAAGGAAGGAGGAAGCGGGGAAGGAACTGGCTCCAGCTGGAAACAATAAGAGCAGGCACATATTTTGCTGCAAACAAAATAATTTGTGTGGACATTTTTGTGCCCTGAAAGGACATCACTGTTAGACATTTTTATGGATAGACTTTTGGTTACCCCATTTATGTATCAGATTGGGACTCTTTATTTTATGGAGAGTCTTAGATCCTAAGTTAAAATTCTTGCAATTTGTCCCGGTCTTTGCTTAGATCTTCAAGTCCTAATCTGGAAAATTATGTATTTATGTTAAGGATATTTAGACCTTGGATTGTATCTATAGACTCTGATCCTTCGTCTCTGCAAAAGATGCCATTTTTAAACTTTTTTATTGTAAAATATATATAGCATAACATATTCCATTTTAACCACTTTGAAGTGTATAATTCAGTGGCATTAATTACATTCACAGTATTGTGCAACCATTACCATTATCTATTTCCAAAATTTTCATCACCCCAAACAGAAACTCTGTACTCATTAAGCAATAACTTCTCATTCCCTCCTCCCACCAGCCCCTGATAACCTCTCATCTGCTTTCTTTACCTCTGAATTTGCTTATTCAAGATACTTCACGTAAGTGGAATCATACAATATTTGCCCTTTTGTGTCTGGCTTACTTCACTAGCATAATGTTTTCAAGGTTCATCCATGTTGTAGCATCTATCAGTACTTAATTCCTTTTTATAGCTGAAGTAATATTCCATTGTATTTATATACAGTATCACATTTTATTGATCCATTCATCAATCAATTGATATATTGATCAGATGATGAACACTTGGGTTGTTTCTACCTTTCGTCTATTATGAATAATGTGGCTTTGAACATTGAGTACAAGTATCTAAGTTCCTAGAATAGCATTTTCAAACTGAGAAATGTGTAGCTCTTTTATATAGAAAAATTAAGTCTTCTGTATTTTAAGTGTTCATTGTTATTTCAGTGTTATTGAAGTATACACAAACAAAACTAAGAATTAACTCATTATAGCTATTATATACCTATGAAATCAAAACCAAGTTTTCAATTACATAAAAATAAAACTATAAAATCAATATAATTTAGCAATTTTCATCAAATTATATTAACTGAGAATAAATTGCATATATTGGTTTTAATAGTGTAAAAAAATATATTTATAATTTTTGGCATGATGGACCATTATTTTTAGCCTTCATCATTATAATGTTTCCTTTTTAACAATGAACTCATTTTTAAACCACTAATCCATTATTTTGATGGGCAGTCCATTTGCTAGAGTAGCTCAGAGTGTAAATCCGGAAAGCAATGGGAAAACAACAATTCAATGAAAAATTATTTACTACATATTTACTGCAACAGTTTCATTAATGAAATGTTGCAAGGAGGTGCCTCTGAAAGCAAAATCCACAGAGTAAATCTGTTCACTATCAGGTACTGATTGCTGTAATGCAGGTTTTAGTAATTCAGTTAACCTCATACTTGTTTCTATTGGAGCTTGTTTGAATTGCTAACATGATATCATTTGACCTTCATTTATTACAAACACATCACTTATTTATTCAGGCTGCCTTTGCTTTCTGTTGACCCATTTCCATGAAACTAGACAGCACTCTAAGGTATTATGTTGGTTTTATGATGTTAAAGCAGATTCTTAGTTTACTAACTAAGAACCATAAAGTCTTATTCCATGAAAATGTCTTCACTTACAAATTATACTGCAAAAGAGTATTTTCGTCTTCATAATTATAAAAAATTAAAATATGAGCACAACAATGGGACATAGGATAATGGTTGTTATTTTGACATTAGCATTTTCCTGCCCAAGAGCTGTTAGACATGCTTACCAACACCTGAAAAGATAAATCCTATCTCCTCAAGGTATTACTTGGTAAAATCTTAAATGTAAACATGAAAACTAGCTGGAATACTGGAAATCCCATCATCCCAAATTATAAAGTGGACATCCAAGAATTCAGAATATTCTTGTGTTTATTCTATATTGATACGAAAATTTTTAGTGGTCACAGAATTCAAATACCTCAAAGAATGTACCAAAGGTTATCACTACCTGAGTTTGACAAATACTGGTCCAAACATTAACTTTATTGCTGTACTCACATTGAACTCTAATGCTTTACTCAACGAAGAGTTGATCTGCTTCTTAAAAAATAGTTGTGTTGCCTAATTGATGCATTTTCTTTCTACTGGAAACCAAACTATGAGAAGAAGGTTGCTTGATGAGCACACAAGCTTTATACACAGTAGGCACTCAATGAGTGTTAAGGAATTGTTTGGTTAGGCAATGACTGTCCACTTCAACATCTCTATTGTTAAAGGAAACACATTGTGGAAAGCAACCCTGATAAGTATCTCATCCAATCAGTGATAATCTTCCTTCCTCTCTACTCCATATTGACCCCATGCCAACCCTCAAGCTCTGTTTTCTACCTAGTTACACCACCTTCAAAACCAGTTTCACAGAATGTGTTTTTAATGAAATCTCAACTCTTATCCTATGAAAAAAAGATCAGTAGCAAATAACATAAATTCATAGTGTACAGATTCCCAGAGGGAAGTCGTTTCTCCAACCAAGCCATCTTCATTTTTGTTAATTGCTTACATTCTTCTTGATGATCCCCTTTCTGGGGTGAGGACTTATAAATCTCCTCTATTGCTGCCAGATATTTTCATTTAAAAATATTAAATCCTTTCTATATTTAACTTATGTGATTTTGTACCTCATTGTATTTATAATCTTCATTAGCCATATTTTTCTCTGTAAAAGTAATAAAATGTTAATGAAGATATGATTTATCTAGAGATCATCTTTCTATAGACATTAGCAGATATATACTGGGATATCTCTATTTTTTTGTTTTAAAAATTAAGTTTGATAAAAATAACTTATTTCGGCCGGGCGCGGTGGCTCACGCCTGTAATCCTAGCACTCTGGGAAGCCGAGGTGGGCGGATTGTTTGAGCTCAGGAGTTCGAGACCAGCCTGAGCAAGAGCGAGATCCTGTCTCTACCAAAAATAGAAAGAAATTAATTGGACAGCTAAAAATATATAGAAAAAAAAAATTAGCCGGGCATGGTGGCACATGCCTGTAGTCCCAGCTACTTGGGAGGCTGAGGCAGGAGGATCGCTTGAGCCCAGGAGTCTGAGGTTGCTGTGAGCTAGGCTGACGCCACGGCACTCAATCTAGCCCCGGCAACAAATTGAGACTTTGTCTCAAAAAAAAAAAAAAAAAAAAAAAAACTTATTTTTTTACCATGTCACTCTTCGGTATAGTTCTCTAGTATTTAACACATTTCAAAGCGTATAAATATGGCCTCGTATCAAATCACCACTAAAGGTCAAGGATCCACCTTTCTATGTTTACAGTACCTTGCATATAGAGTGAGAGGAATAATGTATTTTGAATAAATCATTAGATAAATAATGTAAATAGGTATTACCTGAATCTATTTCATTAATATTTAAAAACCCCTACCTTAATTTTGACTCATCCAACCAATAAAAGTTCAGCTTTGCGCCCTCCCAGAGGAGACATCATGCAGAAAAAATATATTTGACTATTAGGTAGAGGCTTCTACTGTCAATAAATGTGATATCTCACCTCTTCAGTCATCCCCCTCGCTATCGGTCTTGCGGGCTTGCTAGTAAGTGCCTCTTTTATTGCCTCTTCAACCCCATTTCCTTTTTGAATTTTCAGAAAGCTTCAAAAGAAATGTTTTAAACTTTCAAGAATGCTCCTAAAGACAACTTTATCACCATCACATACTTGGTGGCACATATATATCTTTGTAAATGTATGTAAAAGAAAATTGAATAGGAGGCCTGTTTTCATTAGACTATTATAAATGTGAAATTTTATGCAATTTTGCATTTTATTTTTTGTACAGGCAGAAATACTCAGTGTCCTCAGTCACAGAAACATCATCCAGTTTTATGGAGTAATTCTTGAGCCTCCCAACTATGGTATCGTCACAGGTAGGAACTCAGTATTTGATTTCTTTCTTTCCCCAATTACCTAGCTTTGGATTCCTTAATATGCTAAAATGCTTAATATTGGATTCAGTCATGAATTGTGTGCTACTGTCAGATGTCACTTCTGTTGCTATAAAGCATTAATAAAACTGATTATATCAATATAATTAAGAATGGTGTTTCCACTTCTACCCATGTTTAATTGTGCTAATTATATCTGTGTAAATGCTATTTAAATGCACTCACAGCTGCAATACCAATATTTAAAGGTGCCATTTAACTAAAATTTCATTTAATTAGTTGAAATGAGAGTTGTTTTTTGTTACTCTGTGACCTTTTATAAATTAAGATTTCTTGAGCTATTCGCGTTGTAATTCTTTGCAAGGCATTTTAATCCCCGTAGAGTATACTTTCTCCAAGGTCTCTGACGCGAGAACAATATTTTTCAGGTTTGGTCAACTAAGTTGGTAATGACCTTGATCTAAATTATCACATAATTTGGAGCAGCAGTCTATAAGCAGTGGAAATACTCTTTCCAAAAAGGAGCACATAGAAAATTTTGCCACATGAAAACACAGAAAGACATACATTTTTAATACTTTATGCTCATATTTTTATAGTCCAGTGAACAGTTTTAGGTCTATAATAACTATAAAGTTCAATTTACAATAAATAACTTTGATTAGGTTCTTTATCTTGGCAATACTTTGATTAAAAGAAAAACAAACAAGAAAACCTTAAAAGATTAACGCTACCTTCTTCCACTATAGTGATAAAAACCTGGATTGTCTTTATAAAAAATAACAACAAAACACCCTCAGTAAAAAAAGGATTGTATTAGGTAATTTCTTGCAAATTATCTCACCTAATACTTACAATTACCCTTTGACATTGGTAAAATAATTTCTATTTTACTAATAAGAAACCAAAACTCCAGCTTTTAAGTCACTTTCCTACCGTCACCTAGCTAGTGGTAGAACTAGAGTGGTATAAATTTTTCAGATTGATTTTCTGCAGAAGATACACTTCTTACATGCAAGCTAGAAGGTTTAGAAGGCTATCAGCTCACTGATTCTTAAGTTCAAAGGGACATGATTATTGTTAATTTCCATATTCTGGTGTCAGGTATAACATGCTTTTACTCTAAGTAGCAATTTTACCTAAGTTCTTAAGTGGAGGGACTTTTATCCCCAATTTGCTATCTAAGATCTGTGCCTGAAATGGGGCATGTAGCAATTTTTATCTTGAGCCCATATTTGCTATTAAGGTGAATATCCGAGAATGTGTTGTATTGTTAGGGGGTACCATGCCTAACCTTTTAAGTCAGATTTCTGATTTAAAGTTAAACCTTTCTTTGACCCATTTACCATTTGGCTCCTTTTTTTCCCGAGTTTATTGTGTTTACTTTTTACTAGTTATTCAGATTCCAGTTTTCTCATCCCCATTTGCAGCTAATAATATTCTTATCTAGCAGATGAAAGTGTGTGTGATACTCCAAAGAGATTAGAAACTCTGCTTCTCGTTTTATACCCTTGATATTTAATGCTTTTGAGAAGATTTCAGCTTAACTAACTCAAAAGACTATTCATGAAGTTTTCTAGTTTCTTGAGATGAAAATGAAGGGTAGAAAAAGGGACTTGAGTTATGGTGTGAATTCCTGTTTCCAAGAGTTTACTGTCAGTCCCAGGGAGGATGTGAAACACGTTCATTCTTAGCCAGCATATTCAACCTGGGTTATCTCATGTAAAAGAGGGAGGAAGAATCCAAGCAGTTTGAGGAGTAGGTTTGATTTTATTTAGTTTTTGTATCAGACTAGCCAGTCCTTTATTTCATGTATCCCTTTAACATTCTTCACTCATTTCTACACCTACCCAAATTCTTTAGTTAAATTGATTAGTTCTTTATGGATCTATATCTGTTTCCTTACAGAGCCAGTAAGTAAGCAACTGTTAAACATTTCTTTAAAATAACTTAAGCTTCAGAATTGTGAGATAACAGTAAATGGTGCATTTATAGCTCTCTCATTGACCTGTGAGGTTGATTGTTATAGAGGCCTATTAGCCAAGTTTTGGTGGTTTAAAATATATTAATTTGATATTTTTGTACATAGAGATGTTAGTTTTAGTTAAATGTTTGTTTATGTGAACCTTTTCAACCAACCCTCTGCAGCGTTAGGATCAAGCCATGCTCTGTGCATGGGTAGCAGGACCTATGCCACCCGAGCCAAATTTGGGAGTTAAGAGATCATGTGGATTAGGGATGATGGCACTTAACCTGCCACTCGAAGTGAACACAAGTCCTAGTGTGAGGAGCTTAAGAGAAAAATAAAGATAGGCAGGCAAATAGACCCTGATCACCCCACCTTGCTAGATACCCCTCCATGAACCTCCTCATCTTTATTAGATGTTGGAGGCTCCAAGGAAGAAACTTGAATGTCTTGAATCCATTCAACTTGAATTTTTTTGTTAATAGAAAAGGTTGTTGCAGCAGGCAGCTGTTGTCACTCATACCAAAGGCTTGAAAGAATGATTTATCAGAGTGATGGAATGGAATGAATACTGGAATGGGATTTGGGAGATGTGAGATCATGTCTTGATTCTGCCAAAGCTTCATAGATGGGTCACTGATGACCTCTCTCTGTCTCAGTTTTCTCATGTTGAATGAAGGGACTAGAACAGACGATCTCTGGGTAAGAGTGTGTATGTGTACAATTGTGCATGTGTGTTTGCTGAAACTTTTCATCACAGATTTAGAAAACCTGCATATAACAGTCCCTAGGGATGAGTCTAAAAGGTTGCTGCCAATTTATTTCCTCTTGGAAGGGAAATGAACATCTTTCTTCCAGTTCTATGAAGAAATGAGGTATCCAGAGCTGCAGACTCCAAAGTCAAAAGAAAAGATAAAATAAAGGATCATCTTTTTTTTTGATCTTTGGAGACCTCTTCATTCTGTACTACTCCTATTCATTTAGTTTTTAAAATATATGTACTAACAGAAATACTTGAGTGTAGGAGGAACCTCTGGGAGACAAAGGAAGGGATTGTTAAGTACTAGATCATGTAGCTCTTTCGTAGCAAACTGGATGAAAGGGGAACCCCCAACCAAAGTGTCTGGTAATCTAAGAGTAAAGGAAGGCTGGCAGACTGGGTCCCAGGGTTCCAAAGGAAAGTGATTTAGGATCCCAGAGGCCCAGGGAATTGCATCTTTGTGCTCAGGGGCTCTTAAAGCTTTTCCTATTCTACATTATCTCTTATCAATACTATAAGAGAGGGTACTAGCTCTGCATGCTTTGTCAGCAGGCCCAAACTCTCATTAAACTCAACCATGGAAAAGATACTAATTTTTAAGTGCCCAATCTCATTTCCTTTAACTTGGTCTTGATTTATTTTAAGCACAGACACATCTAATTTGCATGTTTTGATATTGTGCTGGTCATTTTTTATTACCAATTAGAAATAGGTGTCACATCTTGTTACAACAAATTCCAGACATTTGCTCAAATTCATTTTTCTGTTAGTTATAATCCAGACTAAGCTTGGTCGTGGTGATATTTTATTATAAAGAGATTTCATGGTAATGGTATTAGTTTCAACAATAGTGATTATACGTTTACATTTTTCAAAGCCAGCTATTGTCACCATAAAACTCAAAGGGAAGAATTGTCTTAGAAATCAAAAGGAAATGTTTGCTTAATGTGGCTCTTAATGACTTTTTAAAAAAAGAATTAAAACAAATACTTTTATACTAAAGTCCAATGAGCTACTTTGTTGAGAGAAGTTAAGTGGTTTGAAAAGCATGTAACCTTATGTGTATCTGCTGAGTCCTCAATTTCCAATGAGAAGACCAAAAGGATAAAAGAATTAAATGCCTATTTAAAACATTAGTATGTTAGTTTAGCTACCCAAATATTTAAAGATCACATTTTATATGAAATAAATGTAATTACATTGCTTTTCTTGCAACTTCACATTCATGAAACAATTTCATTGAATCATGTGTCTTCTACATCCCTGTCTTCTTTATTATCATTATAATGACTTTTTAAGTTATTTTAACATGGTTTTCAGAGTATATTATCTTCACTGTAGTCGATGTTTGAAATATAGTAGTTTTGGGATCTCTGTATGACTCTGTCTCTGGATATTTATCTCAAGCTACAAGTACCAGTGACGTAACAGGATTGTTGGATATTTTAGTCCCATATGGTAAATTTGTAACCATAACTAATTGCCTTTGAAAGTGATCTTTAGAATAGACTTCAAGCGACATCCCAGAGTTGCAACTGAGAGCTTATAGTTCTAGGTTTAATTACTCTATGTTAAATTTTGTTGCCCCTTTCTGTTTACATTTTTTAATTTCTTATTAATATTTTTTACGTGGGGTGCCTGGGGGCGGAGTCTGCGGAAAAGGAGGAGGTCCAGGCCCACCCTTTATTGCCCCCTTTTCTTCCCTCCCTCCCTCCCATTCTTTCTTTTTTGTCTTATTCACGTAGGTGATCTTTATGAGCCTTCAGAAACTAGCTTCGATTAAAGTACTGTCAAGCTAATATATTTTCCCCAAACAGTATTTTGTTGTTGAAAATAAAGTAATTGAGAGAGTTCCCTAAAATATGAAAGATTTTGGAAGTACCTGAATATAAATTGACTTACTCTTTTCTGAGGGATAATTTTTTTGGTGATGGAAATGAACCTTACTTTATATTTGCCACATACAGTTATTCTCAAAGGTCATGAAATAATCTTCTGCCAAATGCTATTTTAGTAACCAGAGAAGATTTAAATGGTATATCACCAGAGATGTTTTTATTTATAGAAAGCAGCTCGATTGTCTAGAATATATGATAGGTAGTATAGGCCAGGGGTCCCCAACCTATGGTGAGTTGTATAATTATTTCACTATATATTACAATGTAATAATAATAGAAATAAAGTACATAATAAATGTAATGTGCTTGAATCATCCCAAAACCATTCCCCACTCCCCAGTTCGTGGAAAAATTGTCT